AATTTACTTTAATTCAAAGTTATTACAAGAGATGACATGTTCACAGCATTAGTAAAAAATACAAATCCAGTTTAACTTGCAACATTTTTTAGAGTGTATCTAGCAAAATACTAGGTCTATTTCTCCAGAATTTTACTAGAAATACTAGCAGCAAGGTGATCTGAATTTCAATACAGACAGTAAGAATCCTTTTGGGGTTTTACGCAACCAAGTAAAGTAATAAATTAACCTGGGAGAAAGTGGAAAATGAATATGCCAAAAATAAGCTTTATTATGTGTGTCTGAAGTTCAACATGTGAATTCAAATAGATTTGCCCATTGATGCAACCACTGTCAGTGAAGAAACAAATGTTTGCATGGCTATTTCTGCAATAAACAGAAAAGCCCAGTCTGAGAGAGCAGTGTTTCAGTTTCCTCAGTCACTCAGTTCTGTTCATTCTGCTGCTTCCCCACACTCCAGGGAACCACTTTTATCTGACTACAAAAAGAAAAATCCATCATCCGTTAAGAGGAATTAGCCTGCTTCATTTCACATTCCTGGGATGCTATCACAGACTCTCACATAGACAGAAAAATCATGTTTAAAAGGGAGACAAGGGCTTGGTACTTCCGATCCTGCCCCATTTCCAAAATGCAAGGCTTCTCATGAAGGCAAGTTACTGCACATATTCCTTCAAAAAAGGAATGGTTGATTCTACGTCTTCGTAGGCAGCTATTTGTCTATTCATCTTTTCAAGCAGTAAATTAGAAGTGTGGGATTTTTATTCTGTCATTATGATCAGTGGGGTATAATCTAAAAGGCTGAAGGATTCCTCATTAAAAGAGATCACAGGCAGATATTTAGAAGAAAAAAAAAAAAGAAACATAATTCTCAAGATTTTACCAAACAATTCTACAAAAGAAGACTACTTTTAAAATGACTTTCTGCTATATGGCATTTCTTGAAATTTCTGTTGAGTTGAACAGATCCAAGGAGGGCTTGGTATGGACTCTGCATTCCCAATGGATCATGGATTCAAATTTACTACAATATTCAAATTTCAGAAATTCTTAACTTCTAAATGATAACGTTATTACAGTGTCCGAATCACAGCATGGCTGAAGTTGGAAGATATCTCTGAGTCCATGTGGCCCAGCTCCTGCTCCAACAGGACACCCTGAGCAAGGTGCTCAGGCTCACACCGAGGTGGCGTCTGAATTTGTCTGAGGAAGAGATCCCACTCTGGGTGCCACTGTGGCACTGCACAGTCCAGAAGTTCTTCCTGATGTTTAGGGGGAATCTCCTGTGTTCCAATTTGTGCCCATTGCCTCTTGTCTTGGCACTGGGCACTGAACAGAGCCTATCTCCATTTTCACTGCATATTCCTTTCAGGCATTTATAGACATTAATGAGATCTCCTTGAGCCTCATCTTCCCCATGGTAACCAATCTCAGCTCTCTAGGCCTTTTCTCATAAGAGAGGTGCTCCAAACACTTTAACATCTTTGTGGCCCTTCTCTGGACTCTCTCCAGTAGTTCTGTATGTTTCTTCTTCTAGTGAACCAATAGACTGTTAAGGAATATTTTGGGTTGAACAGAAGAGGCGAGCCACCTCCCTTTGCCTGCAGGCAACACTCCTCCTAATGCAGCCAAGGGTACCATGAGTAAAAATGAGTAAAAACATTGCTGAAGTCTTAGAAGTATCAAAACTATCTAGCAGTGTCAATTTTCATGTCAAGAGTGTTCAGCAAAGGATGTGTTTGGAAACGTAAGAATCATTGCATTCAAAAATTATTTTACAAAATAATTATCATGCTGGTTATCTGCTCCGCCTTTGCCTGTTCATTAGGTGCTGCAGGCAAAGGAATGATGACAAATACAAATGTCTTTCTGGAAAAATTTAAAATCCCTTGGTAGAATCTGAAACCAAAGTTCTGGAACTTAGTACGCAATAGTATATTTATAGTAATAGGACAATATGCTGTCCTTTTTTCAGGCAGCTGATGACTGCACTTGAACTTTGGTAATGCAAACCATCAAGAACTACCTCATGCAGAGTACCAATGATCAGCAGTAACACAAGCCGGTTCTGGGAGACATTCTCAGTGATTTGCATGAGTGTATCAAATACAGAAACATGATATGTAGATGAGAAAGCTAGCAGTCGTTTTTATAATGGGTAAAAAATTGATTTTGAAATGAAACAGATTTTCTTTCTCTCCTGCCTCGGTTCATTGTAATGTAAACAGAGGTTTTTATTCCAGAGATTCAAGAAGGCCATAAATTGAAAAATCTTTTCATTTAATGGAATAAATTTGAATTACGAGTTGCACACACTTCTATGCAACTATATTGACTAACCTATAAAACACAAATTTACTCTGATCATGGATCATAATGAAACATTTTCAAGTCAAATATAAACAAAAATAGAAAGCGGATTTGGAAAACTCAAATTTATAGCATAGTACACTTTATTAAGCTGGTAATAAGAACATGAAAGAGCTCACAATGGAAAATGGGATTCATTCACAAGAAGTGAAATGAATCACATTGCTATTAACAAATATTAAGATGATCAAAACTGTCCAAGTAGTTAGATGAAAAATAGCGTCGACACCAGAGACAAGTAAATACATAATAAGACTGATAAAAATACGAACTGTTTGCACTCTTCCAGATGTATTTTGGCCAATTTGTTCTCAAAATATTTGCTAGATGTTACAACAAAGCAAACTTTGATATCTATCTACAGCTTTCCAAATGTTAGTAAGATAGGCTCTACATGCAGCACTTTATGTGATGACAAAATTTATTTAAGAAGAAAATATACCATTAAATTCTCAATACAATATTGTCCTTCGGTTTGTAGATGTCTTATACAGCTAATAAACTTTCCCTTGATTTCTATTACCTTGATGTCTACGTACCTCATGAAATTTATTTTTAATACAAAAGAAAACAAAGGAAAACCCACAACTTGATGCAGGTGCCTGGTGATAAATACTAAGCACAAGAATTTTGAATACATCATTCAAAGCAGTTCTATCTTATCTTAAATTCTACAGTTTAAACTACAGTTAAGTACACATACCCAAAATATTTTGGCAAAATGATGAAGTCAAGCATTCGAGTTGGTTGAAAATCAGGGATTCTTAAACGTTTCAATGAAAATACACTTTCTGTGCACATACTACCCGCGTCTCCATATAAGCTCTGTGTCTGTGTGCTGCAGGGTTTAATTCTTCAGTAGTCAAAATCAGCCACATGCCAAAACAAAAAGAGGCCTCTTTTGACTTGTTTTGCCCATTTTCCTTTCCACTGAACAGACAGCCAAGGAACACAGTGATGCATATCATAGCCTTACCTTATACCAGGTGATAGGAAAAAACTCCTGTATCATTACAGGCAATGCTTTAAGCAGTCAGAGCCAATCGGCCAGAAAATAGCACTATAAGACTCTAACGGGACAGAAGGAGCCAGAGCTGTCCTGATCTTGTGCCCCTTCCCATTTGCTGATTCCTCAACTTCTCATGGGGACCAAAGTGGTAACAGAGCTTCAGTTCACATCTCTTTTTGAAAGAGCAGATAGGCCCTATAGTGTTTCCCCTATACTTAAGGAATTGCCTGCTGCTGTTATGAAGTAATTCAACTGTTCCTTCTGGAAACAGAAGGCCTGGATTGGAGGTGCTGGGTAATATGGGAACTGTTCAGTTCTTAGAGAAAAAACTAAGGCAGCAAGTAAAGGAATATTGCTTCAGGATTAGGAAGAGACCAAGATATTTACTGCAAACCCATTCTTATCCAAACTCTAATTACACACTTTTTCAAAACAAATTCTAAAGCTTTAGCAAAAGATGTTACGAAGCAGCAGAATAAAGTTACGTATAATTATTATAATTCACACCAACTTGTTTAGAGCTTGCTATTCAAAGTGGGGAATGCAGAACACCCAGTAATATCAATTTATTATTCAGCTACCATTAAAACCATTGAAGTATTTCTCACAGATCTGCAGTCAGCTCCATTAAAACAAATGAAGTATTTCCAACCAATATATGCTTTATAGCACACTCACAAATCACCACTGAATGAAATCGCTTCAGGGATGTGCTTTGCTTTCCTTTTAACTTTTGGTCAATTCCAATGATTGACAAGACATCCAGTAACCCCATTTCCTTAGTTCAATCTTATTGAAAGGCAAAGCATATCAGGTAACTATCACCAGATACATGCTGTGATTTTGTAAAAGGATTTTAGTGATAAGGCACAAGCTGAAATCTATATGTTCTCTGCCAGCTATGTAGACCTCAATAAAAAGATTATTTATGTATTACGCCTGGAATTTATAGTGACATGTAACTGAACTCTTCACAATGCAAAACAACTGCATTTTCTTGAAGAAAGCTGCCACTGAAATATAATATGTGCATCAGCAGGGCAGGAGTGTAAATACTCCTTTTACATTTACAATTTGGAACATACATTATTTGTAACAGCTCTTGGTATTTTATTCATGCTTTTTAGAAAGACAAACAAAAGATTAACGAATTCATGTAATAAATATAGTCAATATTGCTGTCAGGACATTGGAAAAAACTACTTGGTAGGATATTGTGCTTTTATCTATGAAAATTAAATATCATACTTTTCACTTGGTATGTATATTGAGAAAGTAGTGCAACAATAAAGTATAAAGAAAACATCAGATTAACTACATGGAATCATCTTGTTTTGACACGAAGTAATGTTACCTCTGCTTTCTGCTGTTACCTCTGCTATTGCTTTCAGTAGAGAACACAAGAAATCAGTAGCCATCTACATTCATTCATGGGGTTCTCTAACAATTGCAGCAACACCAGTTACTACTTTCTGCTTATTTATTGAAATCAAGTGTCAAATATAACAATAATAATAATAATAATAACAACAACAACAACAGACATTTCATTTCAATATAATAATAATAATAATAATAATAATAATAATAATAATAATGGAACAAAGAAACCATGACTTACTTGCTTTTCCCTTTGTATACTGTAGCATAGGACCCTTCCCCTAGTTTTTCCAGTTTTTCATATGAGTCTGCTTTTCCAAACTTGGGACTTGTAGGCTAAACAGGAGCAAAAAAAAGAAAAGACCTGTCAGCATCTACTGCAACAAAAACTTTAACTGCTTTGATTCAGCCTTTAAAGATCAAATGCTTTTATGAAACCTCACACACCTGCACATTTTTAGCACCCAGCAATAAAAAAGTTAATAGCAGAACTAATAAAATGACAAAACAGGCTACTCCAGCAAACATCATAACATCAATAAACTCTCCAGATGGTAGTTGCCCATATTAACCATATATTTACATCTCCAGAACTATCAAAAGGATTTTGTTCTTAATCAAAGGGACACTTCAGTTTCATTTTTCACATACATCACCTCATACAGTGAAAAGGCTCACTTGCAACTAAATCAGATTATCTTTGTTATCTTGCACAGCATATGATGAAGTCCCTGGAAAACATCTGAGTATTTTGAAGTATACCCTGTTTCTCCAAGCATCCACATATTCCATTTTCTGGAGAAGAAATGATTTTTATGTCTCCTTGGACCAGAGGTACACAGCAAAAAAACTGATTTGCAACTGCCATCATCACTGACAGGTATTTTAGACTGCAGTGGTCATATGTCCTGTATTTCAACCAACCAAAGGGCACAAATTCAGGGGGGATCAGCACTGATGCTCACATCAGATTCAGGGACTGTCTCCATAGCACTCTGGTCAAAACCCTACAACAGAAAGCAGCCAAGAAAATTGAGCATGTGGAGTGTTGAATTCAGCTGGGAGACTCCAAGCTGCTGTAGATAATATAGATTCACATTTGAGATCTTCTGTCTAATTTACAAGCAGTACTCAAGTTTCAGTTTTTCGGAAGGAGACAATTACTGTAGTGCAGAACACAGCTGTGCCTAAATTATTTTACAGCCATGGTTGAAAGTTTTAAATCATCTGAGCCTAAAAAGTGCTCCCATTTAAACAGGCAAGAGCATCCCAGGTAGGACGACATGGGCCTCATACGCCTTCATTACACCTAATTAACCATGAACCAGGAAATACAAAAATTCTCTTTCCTTAGCTGCTCTAAATATTTCCCAAGCCATAATTCTGGCACTCTGGCACACATACACATTTTCTGGGACTAAGATCCCAGATTTCTATTGAACTGTATCAGAATAAATATATTATGTATGTATGTTTGCAAAATTGTGCCTTGTCATCTCTCTTCAGTACACAGAACAATCTACTATTTTGCTATGCAAGTCCTAAATATGAATAACTGATGAAAATACGTCACAAGGGAACTCTCTGATCTTTTTCCTCTTGCATTACTGGGACCACACTTCATTACAGATAAGAGAGTAACATGGCTGGCTCCCAGATCAATGCTTAAAAAGGCATTCTGCTTGATTAGGAATTCAAGTTTTATTTTTTTTAATTGCAGCTGTATTACAGATGTCACTAATAGAGGTGACTAAAACATTCATTCAAGTAGCTTTCTCATTTAATTGTCTAATTATGGACTAATGTAACATTACAAAATAATAAAAGAAAAGCATTGAGGTATTTAAGCGCCTGCTGTATAATAAAGTGATAGGAAATTATTTTTCCCATTGCAGACTGCAGTGAACACACAATGAGTAGCTTCGTTTGGAGTGCCAATGCTTCTCGAGTGAACAGTAAATAGTTCATTGCTATCTTCCTCATATAGCAGGGAAAGAAAAGAACATGTTTTATACATGTGTTTCACATTCACTCTTATTTTCACACTGTGATTTACTTTAATTTTATACCTCTGGAAACCATAATGTAAAAGGCCATAACAACTTGTAACACCTTAAGATCTTGATAGGAAACAGGGTGCCTTTAATGCATTACCACTCAGTAAATCAACAGTAGTAATTACTCTTACAACCTCAGGCTCCTTTCTCCATGTTCCAGCTGCCAGCAGCACTGCCCTATGGTCATGTCTCTTGCTTCATTCTTCCCCTCAGAACTGCTGCATCTTCACCAAGAACAGATAAACAAATCAGAGCTCGCACTGGCAGGACCAGCTCACTCCTCTTCGATGAAAAGAGGAGCTGATTTTGACTGACGTGCCCGCACCAGGCAGCTCAGATTCCTCATCCCGTGCCTGCCCAATTAAGAGTAGACTAGAATCAAGCTGAAGTGCAACCTGCTAGCAACTTTTCATCCTACACTAGGTAAACCATTGTGGGTCTCCTTGTCTCCTCCCATGACCACACTCCAGCAGTGAAGTTCAGCTCTCTGCTCCAGAACCATAGAATGGATTGGGTTGGAAGCTACCTTAAAAATCACGTAGCTCCAATCCCCTATCATCACCAGATGAGGCTGCTCAGCGACCTATCCAACCCAGCCTTGAAGGCCTCCAGAAATGAGGCATCCAGTGCTTCTCTGGGCAGCAGTGTCAGTGCTTCACAACCCTCTGAGTAAAAATGTTCCCACTAACATCTAACCTAAATCTCCCCTTTTTAGTTTAAAACCATTCCTTCTTTGCATTCATTGTCACTCCTCCCTTAAGCATCGGAAGGCCATAATGAGGCGACCCCGGAGCCTTCTCTTCGCCAGCCCAAACAAGCCCATCTCTCTCAGCCTGACTTCATAGGAGAGGTGCTCCAGTACTCTGATCATCTTTGTGGCCCTCCTCCAGACCACCTCAACAACTTCAGGTAGGAGTACTGAGAGGGATGTTCACAAACTCCAAACTCACACACTACTAGACCTTCATTATTTTTTCTTGCGTTAGTAACTTGAAAAGACTTGGAATTCTTGAAGGGATCTGCTGTAGAAAAGTACTTCAGAGGATTTTTAAAAAATAAATTAAAAAAATTGCAGTTGCTTAGATACTCTAAATTATACTATATTTCCATACTCAGCATCAAAACATGATGAAATTTTGAAGAAGTGAAACAGTTTGCAAACTAATTTGCAAGGCATTCATTAATGAACTATCAAGACAGATCTCACACAGCACATGCAACCACTTTTGTTAAATTACCATTTAACAAAATTACCATTTACCCAACATTTTTTTTTATAACGAAATCTCATACATTAATTCAAAGTACAATTACCATTGCTTGCATTTGCTTAGTTCAGACAATTCTTACCTATATGTCTGGATTAGAAAGCCAAGTCAAACTCACATAATTAAAAATATGAAATTTTCCAAAAACTACATTTGATTTCAAAAAGATATAAATAAAGTGCTACGGAATTGATTGAATCTGAAATTCTGTGTAATTGCTAAACACTATAACAATTTCCAACTGGTTTATGATTGCACTTTCTTTCCTATGAGTATTTTTCCAGATTCATAGCTTTGAATTTTATTATTCAGATTTTTCTATATTAGTTTAACTTTCTCAACCATTTTCAATTTTGTTAAAAAATACATCTTGTTACAGCAAGATAACAGCACAGATTTTTTAATGGTAGTACTACAAATCCAACATACAAATTCACTTTTAAATATAATCGTCTGTTTGCTTTTTTAGGTTTTCAGCATTTCCTCCAGTGAAATATAGCAGAATAGATATTCATAGAGATGTGTGTTTGAGTCACAGGAGCCCCATATTCTGTTCAGGACACAGTTGACTGAAACACGCACAGTAAGCGAGACATATCCAGAGCACACTGGGTTTGCAGTGCTTGCATCAGCCACTGACACACCTCACAAGAAGTCTCCCTGCATTTTAGGAAACTACTGCAATCCTCCGATTTGACCCAGACAAGATTTCTCAATGGAAAAGAGTATTAATTTTAGCTGAATGCACATAATTTGATAAATGTTTGTACAGAGCTCCTTCTTGAAGCTCAACTACTTCTGTCACTATTCAATTTTTTTTTTTTTTAATTTTTATTTTTTTCTTATTCCTCCTTCCTTCCTTGCACTCCAGAGCACCTACTGAACACCTACCTATGTGAGCTCAGCACACATTGTTCTTTGTCTGAAAACCAGTTCTTTACTGCATGCATAAACTGTACAGGTACCTGTAGATAATTCAAGCTTCCAAAATTCTTCTATGAATTCTTTTATCATAATTCCTTTGATAAAAGCTAAAGACTGATCTTTTCTAAAGTTCAGTGTCAGAATTTTGTACTTGCTAAAATAAATAAATAAACAAATGATAGGCAAGTCACTGAAATGAGTGATCTTCCAGAGAATTCAGATGGGAAAGATAGACGAGATACAATGACAGAAGGAAGTCAAGGGGCTTGAGCCTTTGAAGAACTGCAAATAGAACCAGGTCTCCGTGGAGGCCAGCACAGATTGCAGCGGATCATGTTATTCCCCAGAGGACAGAAGCGCAGAGAGGTGCACTTTTTTCCCTTCAGAAACCACACTGTTTGCCTTTGTGCTTTGCTTTCCTTGAAAACAGTTGTCATTAATGTACTTTTCTTATTATTAGCCTACAGCTTTCCCAGTGCAGGGTTAGGCTCACAGCACCACGGAGTGCTGGGAGAGGGCAATTTTGTTGGATGGGTTTCAACAACCAAGATTCTAGCTAATTTCTCTAGCTAATTAAATAAAGATCATAGTAACAGACATAGAAAGAGTATGCCAAAGTACTGAACACAGAAATAGAAGAAGCTATTTCAAACTGACTTGAGCATATTAAAAATAACAGAGAGAAAAAGAAACAAGAGGAAAGAGTCTTTTCTGACCAGGTCATTTCAAATAAGCATTACACTGATACAGACTGTAAAAGGGATAACAGAGTTATTCCAAGCAGGATGAGTCCTCACACTACATTCTCACGTGAACATTGTTTCTCTCAGAAATTTCCAAAATCTTGGTAGTATAGAAAGCTTTAATGGAAAATTACATTGAAAATCACCTGACTGTTCTTACACAAGTTGTGTGGGTTATGTTCTCATGCATTTTTCATAACTATAAAACAGCTTGTGAATGTCACACTTAACTGTCACACTCCTGAGCTTAAGTTTTAAATAGATTTTCTTTAAAAACAAAATAAAATCTGGGGGATATTAAACTTCAATATAAAGCCATCCTCAAGGGAAAACTGTTATGTTCA